ATATTCTGTTTGGGCAACCCATGGATCGCGAGCGGTACAAACAGGTAAACAAATGGTAGTTCCAACCTGAGAAACTCTTCTTGGTCAAACATAGGCTTAATATTTCTTATTGTTTTTTCAGGGTGTTCGCAAATGTGCTTTGGAAACGAGATTTTGCACTTCTCTACCTTTTGGAGACAAAAACTATCGTTGGTGAGCCGCGGTGCATCTTTATCAGGTGGTCAACGTGCTCGAGTCAGTTTAGCTAGAGCTGTATATCGACGTGCAGACTTGTACTTACTATGGATGATCCATTATCAGCAGTAGATTCTCACGTTGGTCGACATCTTTTTGATCAATGCATCAGCGGATTTTTGAGAAGAGAGGCCGTAATTTTAGTCACACATCAGTTGCAGTATTTAAAACAAGCAGATGAGGTAAAATCGCTACAATGTGTACTTTTTCAGGAAATATTTTTTCTTCTTGTCATTATTTCTTTTTTAGATAATAATTATTACTAACGGCCGTGTACAAGCACGTGGCACATACAGCCAGTTATCTTCTTCTGGTCTCGATTTTGCAAGATTATTGGCCAGAAACGTCGGAAACATCAGGATTCACATGATAATTCTAGCATGCCGGAAGTCGGAGATCATCAGCATCATCTACTCAAGGCAGACACAGTCAATCAGTTTACAAAGTGTACATAGTATAGATGAGAGTAAAATGAACGATGAGCCAAGACAAGTTGAAGAAACTAGAGCTAGTGGAAGTATAGGGGCAAAGGTTTGAATATTTTATAAAAGGATATTTTGTGCATTGCTAATTATAACAGTATTGAATATTTTATTTTTTTCTATTTTTTTCAGACATACGGTGAATATATGAAATCTGGAGCAGGTTTTTGCGTCTTATTTATATTATTTGCAAGTCTTATTTTAGCGGCAGGTCGCTGCATCAGCATCTGATTATTTCTTAACATTCTGGTTTGTTGAAATTTGGTTACTTACAATCTAATATTTACTTTGCACTAAAAACAAAATTTATTTTAGGGTAAATTTAGAAGAATCTAGGAACATCACTTCTCTTAAAATGATGAAAAATATTTCTATGGATTCCGATAATTCCACTTTCAACGACGTGTTTTCAACAAATGATACTCAACCTTTGCCCAATCTATTTGCTTATGATGATTCTTTCTGGGATTTTAACAATTGTATCTACGTTATACTGCTATAACACTGGCCACAGTTTTTAAACTTTAGGAAGATCGTATTTATTCTTTTCAATATGTATGAAGGCTTCTATGAAATTACACAACTATATGTTTTCTGGTATTACAAGAGCTACGATGTACTTCTTTAATACGAACCCATCTGGAAGGATATTGAACCGTTTTTCAAAGGATATGGATCAATAGACGAGTTATTGCCTGCTGCGATGATCGATTGTTTACAGGTAAAATATTAAAAATTAATATATATTAAATATATATATATATATATATATAATATTTAAATTAGAAAAAATTAGATCATTTTTTCTCAATATTATTATTTGGGATTATGGTAATTTTATTAAAGGTTATTTTTTAGTTTGCATGTTATTAAATAAGATTTTTTCATAATACTAATTATTTGTTATTATTTGTAGTAGATTGGATAAGTTTATTGGGGATTATATAGTAGTGGCAGTTGTAAACTACTGGCTGCTTATACCAACATTTTTAGTTGGTGTACTATTCTATCTTCTGCGAAACTTCTATTTGGCTACCTCAAGAAGTGTTAAACGATTAGAAGGAACAAGTATGCATACATATATAAATTTTATATTAGAATATAAATATTTACTGTGAAAATTATATTTTAATCATTAATTTTCAGCTCGAAGTCCTGTATTTTCACACTTATCCGCTTCATTAGCTGGCCTTCCTACCATTCGAGCATTTGGGGCCCAAAAAGTTTTAATTCAAGAGTTCGATAACCATCAAGATTTACATAGTTCAGCATGGTATATTTTCTTGGCATCATCTAGAGCTTTTGGTTTTTGGTTGGATCTCATATGTGTTATATATATTGCTGTGGTTACATTAAGCTTCTTGGTATTAGGAAATGGTTAGTAAGTTTTAGAAAATAAATTATGAAAATTCTTTTTATATAAAACTTTTTACTATAGAAAACTTTGGAGGTAATGTTGGTCTTGCTATAACACAAGCTATTGGTTTAACTGGCATGTTTCAGTGGGGTATGAGGCAATCAGCTGAATTAGAAAATCAAATGACGTCTGTTGAGAGGTAATTATGGTGTTGTGAATTAAAACATTATATGGTTACTTTTATAAACAATCTTTGCAATTACTTAATGCTATGCAGACACTAAATTCTGCAATATTTATTTAAATTTCTAATTAATTATAGAACAATTCCAGTACAATTTTTTTCAAAATACTGTGATTATTATCAAGTCAAAATATCAAGTTTTAACCCTTTATATTCTAGAGTTTTAGAATATAGGAATGTGCAACCTGAGCCTGCATTAGATTCTGAACCAGCTAAAAAACCACCTCCAAGTTGGCCAGAGAAAGGAAAAATTGTATTCAAAGATCTATGTCTTCGTTACGCACCAGAAGAACCTTTAGTTTTGAAGAAATTAAACTTTGAGATCAAGCCCGGTGAAAAAGTATGTATACATTAACTTTATTTCATTCATCATATATTGACTCTGGATAATGCTTTTTTACCAGGTTGGCATTGTTGGTCGCACAGGAGCTGGAAAATCATCTTTGATCAATGCTTTATTCAGGTATTATAAATAGCAGTGTAGATACAAATTGTATACTTGTTCATGAGTTTGTCTTAATTGCGTTTTTTATTTCAAGATTATCATATCTTGAAGGATCAATAATGATAGATGATCGAGACACAGCTGAAATGGGGCTTCATGACTTGAGAAGCAAAGTATCAATTATTCCTCAAGAACCAGTTTTGTTTTCTGGTACTATGAGATACAATCTAGATCCTTTTGAAGAATATCCAGATAGTGCTTTGTGGCAAGCATTGAGTGAGGTAATTGTTAAAATATTATTTTAGAGCGATAAAAGAATTTGGTTTATCTTTGAATAAAATTATTAAAATACAATTTTTTTAAGGTTGAGCTAAAGGAAGCTGTCCAGGAATTACCTGCTGGATTGTTTGGAAAAATGTCTGAAGGTGGATCTAACTTTAGTGTTGGACAACGCCAACTGGTTTGTCTTGCTAGGGCAATTTTAAGAAATAATAAAGTCTTAGTGTTGGATGAAGCCACAGCTAATGTAGACCCTCAGTAAGTTACCTTACATATATGAACTTAAATAATATTATGTACTTATTAGTTATTATGTATATGTTACATACATTAATAAATAATTATTTTAGAACTGATGCCTTAATCCAAAAAACAATTCGACGCAAATTTCAATCCTGTACAGTACTAACAATAGCACATCGTCTAAACACAGTTATGGATTGTGATAAAGTGTTAGTAATGGATGCTGGTCAAGTACTCGAGTTCGGTCATCCTCATGAATTGTTACAAAGCCCTGAAGGTACCTTCCGTGGAATGGTGGTACAAACTGGACCTGAAATGCTGGAGCAATTGACCAGAATTGCGTCTCAGGTTAGTGAGATAGCATATAAAATTATTTGATACTTAAATAAAAATTATTTACTTATCTTATTTTAACTTCACATGCTTAATTGTACTAAACAAGTTAATCTTAATAATTTGCAATTAAATTTTTTTTTAGAGTTATGAAAAACAAATCCATCAAGACTAAATAATTTAATTTATAGTACTTATTAATTATGTGAAGGTGAATATTTGACTTCTGTGTCGCAGTGATGAATAAATGTGCGTTTTTTGAGTGCTCAGTGATCTCAAAATAGGAATATTAAAGATTATTGGAACTTTTGAAGTGATTTTATATGTTACATATGTATATATATTTTGTAACTCTATTTTTAACAAAATTTTAACACCTTTTTTAATTGCCATAAAATAAAATATTTTATTTTGTAAATAATCAATATATCGATTATGTTATATATTTACATCACACTGAAGTATTATAGTTATTAATGTTTATATATAATGCATTTATTACTTAAAGAATGTTAGATTATAGTTTGTTCAAAACAGGGTGCAAACTTGCCTGGAAAATAAGTGTACTTATTGTTGTTAGCAAAATGTATTTTAATGTAATATTATGAAATGTATATATTCTATTAACTTTTTGTATATAAAGGGGCTAAATCAAATTTCATATTGTCAATATGAAATAAAGAGATAATTTTCCAATATAAAAAAGTTTTATTAACAGATATTACAAGTACATACTTTTTTGTAATTATTATTTACAATGAATAATATAAAAAAATTCAATTGTTGAATACAACAATAACTCACAAACCTCTACAAATCTTTAATTTGCAATTTCATTCAAGTATTTCTAATAATGTTGTCGAAATGTTGCCTGATGCTTGTGGAATATCAGTTTACAAAATTAATATAAAAACATATGAAGTACATATTCTTTTGAGCATCAATCATTTAATGGTATTTATAACTAATTCATAAGTACAATTAATTTAGGCATAACAATAAATAATAAATGTATGAAATATATTTCTACAATATATGCCATTAATTATATAATACCTATTCACAATGCCAAACTATTGACATTGAAATTATAAATACAGCTACCATTTATATACATTTTCAATCACAATACATCCATACTATATTTTCTATATAAACTCACTGATTCAACTTTCATTCAACTAAACTAACAATAAATTTATTTATATACATTTAAATGAGAAAATACATTTTAAATTTGGAATGATTAAATTAAAAATCAATCTTGGAATTCATATACTATTAATATATAGTTCATCAAATTTATCACAATTACAATGGTCTTTATTCACCTATTTGATTATAATTCGGACCAAAATATATTAATTTGATTTTAATGCTTCAGTACTCCAATAATGAAATCATATTTCACTTTTGGTATATTATTTAAATAGTATTCACACACAAAATTCAAGCGTCTTCAGCCATTTTACGACATACTTCTGAATTATTTTGCAGTTGATTTCTGTAATACATTATTTTTGCAAATAAGATTACTAGAAGAGCACACAATGTTGCTACTATGACAGCCATCACCAGGGCGTTGGAGGAATTCATCCACCTGCAACAATACAAAGGGTCAGATGAATATATACTCCATGTACAAAAACTTTTATATAATAGTCAAAGTGGCTTATAATGCGTTAACTAAGTATCAATTAATACCTTGTATCTTCTACCATGGAAACACCACTATCAGAAATAATTGAAGATTTTTTTATATATTCATCGCTGCCTGGCAATCCAACATTACAAACGTATTTACCAAAATGGTGACGCTGAACTTTAGGAATATCCAAGATCACTCCTATCACAGCACCATTTTCCCTAAAACAAAAGTAATCAGTATATAATAAATGATTGTCTATTGATTATATATCATAAATTATTAAACCAACCTATCACTATGTTGCTCTTTGCCATGATGTGGTTCTTCAGTTGTTTTTCCTTCAGCAGTGTATCGCCAGTGAATTTTACTTTGTGCATCTGGTAGACTAACATGACCTAAAAAAATAATAATGATAGATAAATAAAAATACAAATCAATGAAATAACTTCATTATTGTATGCATCAAAACTTACCAACAAATGCTTCACAATATAAACGAACATGAGATCCCAATTGTACGGATTTGTTTTCGGATATGAAATTAATTAATGCCTTGTCAGGGGAACGTTCTGTAAAGGAAAATTATTAAATAGACTTGATTATTCTGGAAATTGATTTTTGGAATAGTCGTAAACAAGCTAGGTGATACAAAGTATAAAAAAATAAATATTATGAATATACATTGATTTTTTAAATTGCTTATAAATTTATTATTTATTTACCAAAAATTTCCAAGTTGACATTATTTGTTGATAGATGAGTATCATTCCTTAAACGGCAAGAGTAATTTCCTTTATCAGCAGCAGTAATTGAGCGAGTATAAATAGTTTGGTTAGCAGCATCAGGATATAAGATAAAACTTGATGATTCTGATGGCCATGGATACGGTTTGTTATCTTTGTACCTGAAATAAAAATAAATTCGCTTAAAAAACTGGAATATAATTATAATATAAGCAAAATCAAAAAAGCAAGGTATAACGGCAGATATATTTTTACGTTGCAAACTTGTATGCAGAGTATATATGAATCTAACTTCAAGTAAGATTAAATATTGTTTATTTTTCAATATAATTTAATGTTTCTTTTCAATTTCTTAAGAAATGTATTATTAGATTTTATCCCGTTTTAATTTAAGATTAATTAATTTTTTACTTAAATGAAGATAACCAGGTATCCAAATAGAAAATATAAATATAATAAATAAGTCATGTACATGAACATAAGTAACTTCATGTAAGTTTGAATAATGCTTTTCTTTCATAATAATTTAATGTTTCTTTTTCAATTGCATAAGAAATGTATTATTAGGTTTAATCTCGTTTTAATTTAAGATTGAATAATTTTTTACTTCAATGAAGTTAACCAGATATCCAAATAAAAAAATAAATATAATAAATGTCAAATAAACGTTGCAATATGAAGTTGGTTCAATAACGTGAATCAATTGTATTCTGAATATCATATAAAACGGTTGCCAAAATAACGAAAAAATAAGCATAATACAATTAGTATCTCTCATTTCTCAAAATGAGCAACATGTCCTGGGGAATGTGCTGAGTGAATGTAAACAATATATCAATAAAAATATAATAACGTGACAGACTTAGTGAAGAACTTATGGTGGAGCATTTAATTTGCTATATATTTAAAATAAGTGTGTAAAATATAATTAATATTTTAAATTATTTACAAATATTGACGTAAACTCAAGTGCATAAATATTGTGTCGCCATTCGCCATGTCTCCATTGACAGGTAAGTTTTATTTAGTTAAAATATGTAATATAACATGTTTGATTTGACTACATCGTAACTTAAGTGGAATTATATATTTCAATTGGAATTATATTATCAAATATTTTATTATAGTCTGCGTTTCATTTTATCGAATTATTATATTCTCAGAATCAAATATGAATTTATCGCCTATAAAAAATGATCGCGCGAACAGTAGCATGCAAAAAAATAAATTTCGAACCAAATCAGCAAATTCTCAGAGATCAATTGTGCAAAAGTTGGGAGCAAAAAACATCCAAGCATTTCGTGAACGCAGTTCGACCTTCCTAATTAGAGGATGGTGTAATTAGTTTCAATATTTTTTGTTAACATTTCTTTGACAGATACTCTGAAGCGAATCAATTCCACATTATTGCAATAGCACGATATATAAGTGATGGATGATTTTATTATATTCTAAGCCAATTATTTCGAATTATCATACATATTCTTTGCCAATAAATAGATTCAAGGAATATTGAAAGTAACTACCAGTGATTGAATCTATATTTAGACCAGCGTTGATAAGAACTTTTGCAGAATTCAATACCAATAATAAAACACTGGATTGTCAATTGGTACGAAAACTGGTGTAATTCTATAAATATATATATATATATATATATATATATATATATATAATATGTCTTCGCCAATTGGATAAATATAAACTGTGATCACTAGTGCGAAATCAGAGTTCGCAGAATATCCATTTCTTCGAACTTTCAGAAGTTATTAAAATATTTCTTATATTAACTTATACAAACTCGTATTGCAATCTTATGTAAATATTTGCAATGTGATTGAAAAGAATATTCCTGTTCAGTTTCCACATTACTGGTGTGTACTTAGTGTCGTTGCTTGTAATGACATAAGAAAATATTCTTAATAAATTTGTTATCTACTGGAGAAACTGCATTTATAAGTGATGTCACCACTTTCAAGAAAGGACTAATTGAAATAAAGATATACAGTTGAAGTTAATGAGAGATTTTAATAAAGTTGTTCATTAATATTAATACATTAATTAAGAATTGCGAGATCCGAGTGAAAAGGGTTAATAATATCTTGGATTACTACATATTACTACTGATATAGCAATATATGGATATCTTTTACAAGATTATCGTTCCCCGAGGCAATTCTTAGCAAATACACAGGACTGTTTCTACTATTGCATGCGTACTCACCTAATATAATGAGACAGACTTGCGACGTAATGATATGTTTATGATATGGAAAATAACATACTACGCAAACACGTTGTCCTGATTTTCTATAGTTTGTTATGAAATGTCAATTGCACATGCAAACCTGAGTTTTTCGAAGCAGTGAAAAATATCTTTATTATTGCAGACATGAGTGATTCAATTTATACAATTGCAACTTTAAATTTTTTAGAAGTTTTTGAAAATTATGATTTTTTTTCGAAGCAATCCGCTACGTAGTTGTTTTTGAAGCAAAATATTGAAGCGCGTAAAAGAACATGTCTAATGGTCATTTTTGACCGCCTTTTTTAACTTTTTTATTAATTCTCCGGAACCCCTAGACCTGGTTTCCCAAAAATTTAATCATTTCTTTATTCCGTCAAAACAAAAAAATGTGTTTTGAATCATTCTAATCGGTTGATCCGATACTTGTGAAATCGTGGTTTTGTATCCGAACATACATATACATTCCACATATACACATTAGGGTGGTCCTCAATATGGATGTTTTCGAATTTCCTTGCTCCCAGAGGCTTTAAAATTGATAAAAAAAGTTCTCTGAAAGTTTTCTGAAAGTTCTCTTAATATTAACTCTAACAGAGTCCGCATTCCAACCAAAGCACATGTCGAATGATCATTTTTGACTGACAAATGGCTTTTTTTTTAATTTTGCCTTACCAAAAATTAAATCATTTCTTTATTTCATCAAAACAAGTAAAATGTGTTTTGAATCATTCAAATCGGTTAATCCGTATTCCTGAAATCGGGGATTTCTATCCAAACCTACATATGTACATTCCACATATACATATTAGGGTGGTCCTTAATATGGATGCTTTCGAATTTTTTTGCTTCCAACGGCTCAAATACTTCCAAGTTGATGAAAAAAAATCTCTGAAAATTTTTGCTCTTAATATTAACTCTCTAACATAGTCCGCTCTCTAACCAAAATTTCTTGGTTCTTTTTCCTAAGTAATTACTTATTCATTCACCGTAAGTAAAATAATCATACAATTTTATAGACGTTCGCAAAATATGGATGAAAATACAAGATGATATTAAGGTTCATTTTTTATTTCAAGATAAAGTTATCTTAATTAGACATATATTTGATTCTTTAAATTATCCAGTAATTAATGAATCAGAACCATTTCTCTCGTTACTATAATGCGATTTATCAAAATCGGCTTAGCAATTATACAACCTGAATGCTGAACACGTCTCTGAAGCATTATCCAAACATTTGCCAATTACGTGGAAATGTAGTTCCATTATTTGAGCACTCGCTATTATGCTAACAAATTGTGTTTACATAGGATGTTTAAATCCGTATTTCATAGAAGCAAAATGCTTTCTATTAATTCTGTGCAAATTCCATACGTTCATACAATACGACATGAAACGTTATTTAGATGATACAAATTGTAATTATTTTCTTGCACACTATGAAGAATATTTGTAATGCTAAATAAATAATTACTTGAATTTGAATCCTAGTTGTTTATTTTAATAAAACTTCAACATCGTCAATATATGATGTTGGGCTTTTTATGATATCATCACCTAAAATATATCGACACCATGGTGTCTGTCTTGAGCTAGTATTACACGATTTTCAAATGAGTCATTAGACTGAAGTAATTTTATATATAAATAAACACCAAACACTCATCTTCTAATGGGTTTCTCGTGTAAATTTATTAAACATTGAAATAAAATAATAACTGGGTTCAGTGGCATTTTGCAAAAATTCACCATATGCGTAAGAGTGTAAGTGATCATGATGAATAGGAATTGAAATTTGGCACCTTTTAATAATTTTTTTTATTTTCTTATAAATTACAATCTGTCTAAATAGAAAGACATTGAGTAATTAGTTTGACAAATAACATAGAATTTTAAAAGGAAATCCAAGTGGATCACCTTTTATTAATGTACTAAATTATATCTTAATTAAATTTTTGTATAACTTTTAAAAATAAAAAATTTATTTATTTATTCATAAGCAAACCGTAATCAATATTAATAAATATTATTTCAAGCTGTTGTTAAGCTTATTCATAATTACCAGTTTAACGTAATGCAGTAAAATTATTTTTTAAATAAATTAATTTCAAAGTTGAAGAACACATTCAGATGGTACATTTTATTTAATAAATTTATATTATGATATGACATGTATAAAAGTTTTAAAATCAAAACTTAACAGATTATCAATTTCTTATATCTTTTTACAAACATGTTAATTTGATTTTGAACATTTAATAATATAAACATCTTTATTTAATAATATAAATATCATTATTTGTCCTTGAATTTACCATTTTCTTAGAAAAAACCTTTTATAGTTCGGTTTTTCTGATCGAAATAATCACTTCTTCGGGAAGTTAAAAATAATTATAAATGGTTTAAAAAAATATTTTGGAGATTGAAAATAAAATTAGTAATTGGACAAAAAATATTTTTGAGTTTGGAAAAAATATTTTAGAGATTGAAAATGATATATTCAAGACATTAGAAAGGAAATGTTCTGGAGATTCAAAAGGAAATATTTGTGAGGTAGAAAATAAATTTTTTTGGAGATTAATTATTATTATTTTGGAGATTATTACTAATATACTATTTTTCATGTCACACATATGTGACTAGCATAGCTTTATATTAAAACTTTTTTCTTGGCAAGCCAAGAAATGTTCAGGTCAATTAAGGCACATATTACTCAGGTAAAATCAGTCACATTACTGGCTTGGCAGTTAACGTGTTAAGTTAGTTTTTAATATTGTCACAAAATAAATATAATTACACATACATCTTATGAATGTCCTTGTTTCATTAGCTTTAGTTTTATTTAGAAGTTCTAATTTTTTATAATTATTATACTTCATACATCCATAGATGCCCTTTGATATTACTCAGAAATAATTTCCTCAAATTTAATGATCGCGTTTACTAAAATTTATATTACGTGGTTTTCAATTCATTTGGGCCGTTGCGGTCGGTTAGATAACGACTTCGAACCATTATTTGATCGCGGTGAAAATAAATTTCAGTGAGAACATATACCGCACATATTCTATTTAATGATGTCACTTGCTGCACCTGGGCGGATAAGAACAATGCTACATTTCCTGTAGTGGCATAATCGCCCTATGCATTAAGTGGGCACGATTTATTACGTAGGTGCTTTTTACAATATATACACATCATAAAAGCGTCACTGAACGATATTATCTTAATGAAATTATTAACCCTCCGCCGGTCCGATATTTTTTC